AGATAAGAAACTCAGAGCAATCTTAAAAGAAAATAAAGAAAACTCTAAAGTTAAATAACATCTCTAAGCAACAACTCAGAAAGAGCAAATCAAAAAAGAACTCCAACAATAGTTCAGAAAGATATTTGAAGAACAAGTTATGAGAGCTTATCTGAAGCTACTTCAGCAGCTGGAAGATAAACTGAGATGCCAAAATCAGCTGAATGATAAAAAATGAGAGTTATGCAAAGAATTATGTGTAAAAATCAGGAGCAAACCAAGTGATGATTGGGGAATTTAATTACTTGACTGTAAATATCACTATAAAAAGAAAATAGATGAAATTCAAGACCTAAAATACAAGAAATATGCTCAGTACCTGATCTACAGATGTTCATGTGAGCTTCATCAGAAATAACAAGAAGAGTTTAAATAATAGATATAGATTACAGAAGTCTTCATGTATTATGAAGACTATAATTATGATATCAAGAATTGCCAGCATTGCAAACATAATACTGAGAAAGAAGAATGAGAAATGCCAGACTCACAGAATATCTTATCCACAAAACATTCAGATTATGCTAGAATGTATTAAAGCTTTTACTACAATAATAATTGCTCTATCTATAGAGATGAAAAGAACAGCAGATATTGCTTATAATCACTAAAAAAGTTACAAGTAACTCAGAAACAAGACTACAGTAATAACAAGAAATATTAATCAAGTAAAGAATGAACCACCACACCAAAGCTGAAGAAAGAATCAAGTTGAAAGATACTAGAATTTGAGAAACACAAAGAAGATATCTTAAAGAAACTCAGTCTTATGAAAAGCATGACACCTGAAGAGGTAAAATACCCAACAGCAAGAATATTATAAATTCAAGATAATCAGTTGCACTGGACCATATGCAAAGAAGAAAACAGATTACTAGTGATAATAATATATGAACAGCATTGGAATGAAAAACAGAAAGAGACAGAAAAACCAAACCACTTATGTTATAATAAATTCAAGTATAAATGCCAATGCAAATTTCACAAAGACAAAAGATTTTGGAAAATAATGAGATTTCTGTATGATTTGAAAAAATGTGAAAACTGTACAGAATGTAAAGACAACAAGTATATACAGAAAATACACAAGAAATAATATATTGATGAAAATAATTGCAAAATACACAAACAGGTACTCAAGACAACTCTTATTAATTTGGAAAACAAGCAAGCTGCCATAAACAAGAGTCTGTAAGTAGTATGAATAGGCAAGCAAAACTGTTAGCTACTAATAAACAAATCTGTTATCTCAGAGTTACAGCAATCTTGCTTGAATCAAAGCATGCAATGGTTCTAGTGAACTCAGAAGTGACTGAACTATTTATTGACAGAAGATTCATTAAACAAGCTAGCATTATAAAGTAAATAAAGAAATATCTCTACCAGTTATCAGGACTGGAAGAAGGAACTTTCAATAGAGTTGAAGAAGAGACATACTTCATCAGAATAAGAATAAAACAACACTACAAGAAAGTATGTTTTGAAGTGATGAATCTAAGAAACTATAATATAGTCTTAAGATACTCTTGATTGAAACAACATAATTCAGAAATTAACTGGCAAGAAGAAAAGATTAGGCTGATAAACTGTAGATGCTCTCTTGAACTAGTATGCTATGATTAGAGACTTATACTCAGAAATGACTTAGATAAGACACTGGCTGTAATAAGTCAGATTAACAGGAAGATACTGCATAAAAAACAATCAATTAATACTGAAGAAATTCATGGAAACTCAACTCATGATAACAAAGCAGATCAAGTTATAAAGAACTTCAACAACTTGAAGCAGCTGTAAGTACAAAAGAATAACCAGAATAAAAAGATTAAAGAAACTCTACCAGAAGAGTTCTGGAAATATATTAATATATTTAGAAAAAGAGATCAAAGCAACAGTTTACCAAAGCATAAATTCTGAGACCATAAGATAAAACTACAAGAAGAGAAATAATCAGCAAAATTGCCAATATATAGATTGAATAAGAAAGAATCAGCTGAAGTGAAAAAATATATCAAGAATAATCTCAAGAAAGATTATATTAGAGAGTCAACATCACTGGCAAAATATTTAATACTGTTTGCATTAAAGAAAGATGGAACTTTATAACTATATATGGATTACAGACAGTTGAACAGCATTACAGTCAAGAACTGCTATTCAATACTACTGATTGAAGAAGTATAAGACAGATTAAGAAGAGTAACATGGTTTACTCTAATCAATATCAAAGACATCTACCATCAGATACAAATTAAAGTAGATGATGAATGGAAAACAGTGTTCAGAATATGATACAGACTATACAAGTACAACATCATGCTATTTAGATTAACAAACATACCAGCAATGTTTCAAGCACTCATCAATAACATATTGCAAGAATATCTAGATGACTTTGTCATCATATATCTAGATAATGTGGTTATATTCACCAAAGAAGACTGAAAAGATTATACTGGAAAAGTCAAGAAAGTACTGGAAAAACTACAAGAATACAATCTACCAGTAAAACTAAAGAAGTGTAACTTCTTCAAGAAGAAAATTAAATACTTTGGACACATTATGTCAACAGAAGAAATATAAATAAAGCTAGAAAAAATCAACAAAATACTACAATGATCAATATCAAAGAAAGTTAAAGAAGCTCAGATGTTTTACAAACTAGTAAATTATTACTGATAGTTCATACACAGATTTTCAAAGAAAGTGAGACTGCTTATATAGTTATTCAAGAAAGACAAAATATTCAAATGAATAACAGAGTATCAATAAGTATTTGAAGCAATAAAAAACAAGTTCAGAAAAGAAGAAATAAGATAACACTACAATCTGATAAAGAGATGTGTGATTAATATGAATGCATCAGACTATATAATAGCAGAAAGACTACAACAATCAGATAAGCAAGAAAGACTATAACTAGTTGCATGCTACACAAGAATAATGACATCAGCTGAACAAAACTATAATATTCATGACAAGAAACTACTTGCAATAGTGGTATTACTAAAGAAATGAAAGATTGAACTACAAGAAAATTAACATCAGATAAAGATTATCTCAGATCACAACAACCTGTAATACTTTATGACAACTAAAGAGCTTATAAGACAACAAGCCAGATAGTATACAGATGTACTGGTACACTACAACTTCAGAATACAATACTGCAAAGGCACAGAAAATGCCTGGGTGAATATATTAACTTGAAGATCAGATCTTATAATAAAAGAACAAGATTCAAGAACACTCTTCAAAGAGTTAGAAGAAATAAAGAATATGATTCTGAACCAACAAACATTAAGAGTAACAAGAATCATCACAGAAGAATTAGATATTGAAGAAAAGATTAAAGAAGTAATGAAGAAAGATAAATATACAAGAAAGATTGACAGGGAAAATAAGAACTTCAAAAAAGAAGATAAAATAATACTATATCACAGACTGATATATGTATCCAGAGAAGTCAGAAAGCAAGTGATGGTACAAGAACATGACACAATTACTGCAGAACATTTTGAGATTAACAAGATAATAAAGAAAATCATGAGAATCTACTATTGGTCAGAAATGTGGATGGACATTTGACAACATATTAAAGAATATAAGATATGTGCATGAAGCAAAGTTAACAAACACTAATTATATAAGAAGCTACAGCCAATACTGCAACTGTAAGAATCATAGAGATTTATAGCAATAAATTTCATCATGAAACTCCTGAATTTGAAGGATATGGAAGAGAAGAAGTATAACTCAATACTAGTAGTTACTGACAGACTGATAAAGTATGAATACTTCATACTGTTCAGAGAAGCAATAACAGCATCAGATATAGCACTGATAGTACTGTAAAATGTGCTTGCCAACTACAGAATATCAGAAGAAATAATTACAGACTGAGACATCAGATTTATGAGTAAATTCTGAATAATATTGATAGTATAATTGAGAATTGAACAGAAGATATCAACAGTCTATTATCTACAGACAAATGGACAGACAGAGTGACTGAATCAAATCTTGAAGCAATATCTGTAAGAATATGTTAACTATCAACAGAATAATTAAGTTACACTACTACTCATGACATAATTAGCATACAATAGAGCAAAGAATACCACTACAAAAATGACACCATTCTACATGAACTATAGTAGAGAACCAGAAATACAGAAATAACTAAGAATTACATGACAGAAGACTCAAGAAACAAAACTTACAGTAATATAACTACAAGAACTGCAGAACTAGATGAAACTGGATATTGAATTTCTGAATAAGAGAATGAAGCATTATTATAACAGAAGATGCCAGAAGGCACTAACTCTGAAAAAGAAAGAAAAAATATTTCTAATTCAACAGAATATCAAAACCAAATAACCAAACAAAAAACTTGATTTCAAAAAATTAGAATCATACAAAATTATAAAGTAGATTGGAAAAGCTAACTACAAACTTCAGCTATTCAAGAAGATGAGAATACATTCAGTATTTTATATCTCATTGTTGAAAAAAGCACTGCTACACACCAAAGAAATGCCCATGGAAATTGATGAAGAACAAGAATACAAAGTTAAACAGATACTAGATTATCAGAAGATCAGTGGAAAACTTTACTATCTAGTAAAATGAAAAGAGTATGATATCTTGAAAAACACCTGAAAACTGACAGAAAATCTCAAGAACACCTAGACAATTGTTGAGATATATTATTAATAATGCTCTCACTTAGCAAAGTATTAACAAATAAATCAGAAACAACCAGAAGAAAACTCAAGAAGAGAAAATTAATTAATAAAGCAAGCAGATTTTGAATCTCTGTCTGCTCAGTCACTCTTTTCTGCTTCTTCTTCTCAAGATGTTCCAGATCTTCTACAGACTTTAATTCAGACTTGAGAAATTTACCAGCCTGATTGCAGAGTAACTTTTTCTGCTTTTGAAGATAGAGAAGATGAGAGAGAGTTTCTTGCTCAGTGTACTCAAGCTTATTCTGAGTCTTGAACAGTTTCTGCCAATTAACAGTAGAAGAATTAGCACCAACATGAAAAGAAGGCCCCAATCATCGGCTAAGAAAACAACACGGGCTAAACCTGCGTGGTGACTAGACAAGAGTATTTATTGGCAAGGTGTCAGAGCAACCACGAATCTCCAAGCAGCTGTTTTGCTGTGCTGCGTTCCTCTGGTAGCCACTTGAGCATTGACCTCATAAACTGGATAAATGTTGCTTTCTCTTGCCCAGAGAGTCGCCTCTCCAAGCCCTCCAGGGAGATCGATGGTATCATTGCGTCTGCATGGGCAATCCAGGCACCTACATGTGCGTCAGCGCTGAGGCTGTGGTCAGAATCTTCAAGACTTTACTAACTCACCACTGGAGTTAAAACACTGCGTTGTCGTCTCACTACGTCTAACAAATTCCCTCGGCGGTGGCCCAATCAAAGCGACCATGAGTGCCAGATGCTTGAAAGGGTCATGACGACCTTCTGCATCAAATATATCTTTAAATAGATGCTCGCCTTCAAAGAGATCCCAGATCTACTAAGCGATTAGCAAGATGGTACAGTATGACGGCCGCACGATCCCTGTATGTACCAGGCCCGCCAGGTTCCAAATATCGACAGCACTCCCCCACGACATTTCGAATATGATCTCTGGTGCTCTATAAATATCCGGTTGGACGAACGGGCTGGACTCATGTTTCTTTCCAATTCGTGCTTCGCCAAAGTCACACAGAACCGGGAGCCCGTAACCTTTGCCTCCGGTGGGCGGACGGAATCTTCGGCTTTGATAGATAATATGCGACCCGTCAACCTTCCGAGGGCTTGGATCCTTGGCTTCTGCTCTCGCGAAATCTGCCAGCATGGTGCTATCCTCCAGGGTAAGCATCAGATTGTCGGTTTTTAGATCTATACCTAGTCAGTAACGAGTCTCGTGCGAGAAATCAACCAGCTGAATACCAGCATGAATTATCTCGGCTTCTGTGTGCAAAAAATCAAGGGCGAGTAGAATTCGTTTAACCGTCATTTTTAGGAGGGGGAGATCAAACGGCCTCGGACTTAGTCTCATCATTTCGAGAAGTGTCATGTGCATCGGTTGCAGAACTAGACAGCGATGTTTGCCCACAGGCCCTTGAAGGTCAAATGAATCATAAAGCTCTCGGATCAGCGATTGACCTCGGTGCTTGGAATTGATGTTCGTGAGATGTTCGTAGATCCTGAACTCGCGGTCGGCCGCATTGGGAAAATTTGGCAGTGAGGTAGATACTTTCAGTACACTGTGCTTCTTGTCTCTATAAATCGAAATTTGTTACTGTAAGGGGGAAACTGTTGAAGTTGGCCACAATGGATGCACGCACCGAAGATCCCAGCATAGCCAACTCGTTGAGTACGCGCCATAGCCAATTTTGCCCGCGACCTGGTACCTGCCATTGTATACATCTCCAATGTTGACTGGGTAGTAATACTCGGGCTTATAGTGTGGCAAAGTCTCCTCCTCCATGGGTGTTTCTTGAGGCAGAATATGAAATAATCTATTGTGAGTTTTTGTTGATAGCTTTTGCCAAAGGGTAGTTCTCCACGCACGCAAGTATAATGTCATGTTTGTATTACAAGACCAGTTAACAGTGTAGTCTCGTAGGTGGGAGCATGGCATCCAGTATAGTTCATAAGAGAAAACTTGAGACTTCTTTGTGGAGAGTGGATGAGATGAGGACAAAGTCATATGACCAATGATGGTGGTTCATGTGATTCTTGGCGAGGTTTATATAAGAAACTCTCGGGTCGGCCCGCGTAGAGAATGCTACCCTCACAAAATGGGGCTATGTTAACTATAAATGGCATATAGGTGAGATGGGAAAGAGACAAGTATGTTGTACAACACAATGACACAGCTTTCTGGCTCACAGTTTATCAAAAGAAGAAGAAAAGAGTAAAAGATAAAAGCCAGCGATCAAGATGCAGGACAATTGCGTGATGTAGATACAGACTTTTGCTTATATTTCATCAATTGTTAGACCAGCACGCCGAAAATGGCCTTTGGCACTCTCTTCCCTTTTGCCCACTATATCAACGCACCATTCAAGAAAACTATCAAATCCTTGAGCAGGATCTTCCTCATACACCTGCCAGTTTCGCCTAATAAAGGCCTTCATCTCAGCAAAGAACTCCTCGATCGGATTTAGGTCCGGAGAGTATGGTGGTAAGTTGTCGAGACACTAGCCTCTATGTAGTTAGTCTCCAGCTTAGCGGCTCGGATCTTCTTTGATCCGATGCAGAGCTTTCATCTCGCTTCTCATCCCACAATCCTTGAGATGGGAAGAGGGAGAGCATGCAGATCTATTGAGTTTATATTCTGTGGTTCCTATAGCTTCTGCATATGGTTAGTAGCCTTGTAGATCCTTTGAAAGGTTCTGAGCTTTTCTTTAGGAATCTTCAAAGCCTTTAAAGTTGACAAAAGAGGAAAAGCTCTTGTGTTAAGAGAACCAGTCATAGGTCACATAGGTTTTCCCAGAATTAAATGTACAAAAGAGCTAAGTAGGTACAATGCCCACAACTGATGGAAGAGAGTCATGCATAGAATGTAGAGGTCCTCTAACTAGAAGACTAAATGCTGAGGTTCTCTGAACATTTAATATTATCTGATACTTGATTGATCTAGATCTATAAAGGTGTGGAATAAAAGTTCCCAGAAAGCTTATACAGACAATACTGTTTTACAAATACCTACTACCCTACTAAATTTGCTAGAAAACTCAAAGTACCTCTGAAATTAACTAGTTACTCTTATCTGAATCCTGTTCCAAATTCTCACAAGAATTCTCTTTACTTAAATTATATAGAGTAGCTAGAGCTTCAGCAGCTTTCAAAGTCTCTAGACCAGCTGCCCAAGAATCTGTCTCAAGATTCTGCTGTTAAGAGAGCTTTCTCTTAAGCTGTTGACTCTTCCATACACAAGATATCTTATAATCACTTTCTCTATACTTATTTGTTATGAAACTTGTGGCACAGCAGCCAAAGACACAGGACAATTAGATAAAACCTGACAAGACAGAATCATGGACCATTGTGGAGAAGCCTTAGAACAGGAAGGCATGTGATCAGCAATAGAACTGATAAGCTGACCAATTACACCAAGTGCAATAGAACTGATCAGAGAATATAGCAGGCATACTGTGATAGAACAGATAGAATAGCTTAGCAAGACTATCACCAGAGAGCATTATGTATATAAGAATGCTTATTACCAGAGATTCAATAAACTTGTTCATCATAATCAATCTTTTTATCTATCTTACAGATATCTTTGAATCAGATACTTTCATATCTTGATTACTTTTTATATTATTGAAATCTTGTGATACTGTATAATTGTATCTGATTCTGCTACTCTTGAGAAGACATAATAATCTTGCTCTGTTTGACTTCAGAATCTTCTTTATTTTCTTGTGAGATTGCTCTGAGTTTCTTGTCTCTTTAATCTACTTTCTTTGCTCTGCACTGTCTTGCTCAGTATCCAGACTTAGTATAATAAAAGTATAATTTCTCTTTCTTTCTTCACTCTTTTTCTTTTTCATTGAGCATGTCAACTTTTATTACATTCAGCTCCATGGATGTGTGTTCATAAGAGTCTGGTTGTATGTGTTTGCTCCACTCTCAGCTTCCAGTGTGATTCAATAAACTGGGTTGCTTTCATGATGCTTTTTCTTGCTTTTCTATCTTTTGTTTGTAAAGTCAGTTTTTAATCCTGACTGCCACTTTAATTATCTTGGTCAGAGTGCATGATTATTTCTTCAATTATACTATTTTGTCTTTAATCTTATCAAATAGTTCTTGATAGTGGATGTCAGCTAAGGCTTCATCATCTCAATCAGTGTTGACACAGATTTGCTGGAATCTTATAGTATATTCTTGTAGTGATGTCTTTTATTGTATGTGGTGTAACTGCTGGGCTGCTGTATTTTATTCCTCAACTTCTTTAAAAGTGGTTTTTAATGTCTGAATAAAGATGTTGTAGCTATTAATAATCTTTAGCATGTTATTGTCCTGATCAACTTTGTCTCTTTTATAATAATTTCACAAGTAGATATTGAATCAATCAAATGCTGCTCTGTAAAGATATAATGCTGTCATTATTATCTTGTTCTTATTGTTGCTGAGTTCTTTGTCTTTTATATTCATGTAGATGTGCAGTTGTCTCAAGAAAGCTTGTAATTTTTCTTATTCACTCTTGAAGAGTTCTGGTGAATTGATTTTAGCTTTACCTTTTTTTTTCTGTTGTTCAGTGGATGGGATGGCCATGATCTGAATCTCAAGCTACTTGTTATAATCTTTCAATTTGCAGTTCTGCTCTCCAAGTCTCTCAGTAATCTGTTTGAGCTGCAAGATTCTATTCATAAGATTTTGAGTGTTGATAGCTGGTGCTTTGAATGCAGACATGATTTCTATACTTTGTTAGGTCTTGATGTGGGGTGGGGGTCATATCTTTATGCTTGATGTGATGCAGAAAGTTCTTTCTTTGTATGTAATCTCTGAAGTTTCAGATATATTCTCTTCTGAGTCAGGGGTAATCAATATGTTGTGTTTAGATTTTTTATGACTGGAAATCTTCCTGAGTTCTTTGGGGTCTTAAGAGTATCAAAAAGCTTAAAGAGGGCAACAACAGATTGGAGATAGTGATCAACAATTTAATAATGCTCCAGTTGAATAGACAGTCTTGCTCTGATGACAAAAAGTTTCCATACAGGTATATCAGAGTCAGAGCAAGACTATTGTGTCTTCTCAAGAGTAGCAGAATCAGATATAATTATACAGTATCACAAGACTTCAATGGTATGAAAAGTAATCAAGATATGAAAGTATCTGATTCAAAGATATCTGTAAGATAGGTAAGAAGATTAATCACAATAAACAAGTTCATCAGATCTCTGGTAATGAGCATTCTTATATATATATGATGCTCTTCTGGTGATACTTGTGATACTTTCTTCCAGATTGCTTATGTCATAGTATTATGATACATGATACTTTCTTTCTTATATCTTATCTTGCTTGTATCACTTCCTGATCACATGACTTCCCATCTTAAGGTTTCTCCACAACAGTCTGTGATTCTGTCTTGCCAGGTCTCATCCAATCATTCTGTGTTCTTGGCTGCCATGCCACAAGTTTCACAATACTTTTCTATCATTGGTGGAGCATTATAGATTCTTGAATGTACAAGCTTCTGCATTACTACTGCTTGTCTATATAGATATTCTGCATGCATATCACTGCTGGTTGTAGTAGACATTCTTTATCATAGAACAGCAATTATTCTATTACAAAAGTCTAGCATTTTATTATATACTCATTTCTCTGTTTGTTTGCTTGTCTGGTTGCTATATTGTCTGTTGTCTATTGTCATATTGTTTATTAATAAGTTATGGAACTAGCAATCTTAGTGCATTACAATACAGATATAAATAGAGTTCTTCTCATTCTTGTTCTTCTCTTCTTCTTCTTCTACTATATCTTGATGAGAGTGTTGTTGACTTAGAGTGGTATCTGGTTCCAGGATTTCCTGTCCTGGTCCCAGATTCCTGTCCCAATTCCTGTCCTGAGGACAGGATCAGGTTGAAGCTCAGCTTAATGAGATGGGATCAGGTTGTTTAACAGCATATTGGGACAGTTCTGTGGGAACTGGGATTGGGATGGGATTGGGACCAGGATCAAAATCTAGCTAGTAGGATGGGCCCAGGATCTGACATGATAAAATGGGATAGGACTGGAATTTTAATATTGTATATGGGATGGGACCAGTAAAGTGTAGAATGGGACTGGGAACCCTGGTCCCATTTGTGTTGTCAAAAAGTAACAAAATTTGGTAATGGTCCTAACATAATTTTATCAATTTATTCAACTTCAGAAAAGTACTGAAATTTGGTAATGCTCTTTGCATAATTGAATCATATTGCAAGCTATTAGCTACTTGAGTCTATCTATTGATAATATTGATGTATTTCCTGTTTCTCATCTGGATTGAGTAGTGGATTTAGCAGGCTTGCAATCTCTTCCTGTACAATCTCTGAAGTATCTTGATCATCTTGATTGTCTTGAATGACTTTCTTGGCCAACTTCTCATGCAATATGAGTACTTCATCCAGCATATGCATCTTATCTCCATGTTTAAGCAGCATGATCTTCTTGATTATAGATGCATGGAGCCACAATCATCAATAATGACATGTATCCTGAGCAATATTGAAAACCTGTTCTACCCCAACCTCTGTTAAAGATATAGCCAGAATGTCTCTTGCCATCCAAGCAACAGTTGGAAAATCAGGCTCTAGCATTCTCCACTGTTCCAGAATTGAAGCTCAAGATGATGTCAAATTCTCATCATTTAAATATTGCTCCATTTCATTTTGGAAATTTGCTTGTCTTTAATGAGGTCTCTCAAAAATCATTTGCTCAATATTCTAGAGAAGTTAGCAGAGAAGAAATCAGAATAATACTTATAACAAACATACATCATTCACATCAAGTATTACTTCTCTTGGCTGTTCATATTTCTTATAATGCTTTTTGTAAAACCTCAAAATATATTGTTGGTATGTTTCATGCTCATCACTGGTCCAATTCTCTGAATCATATGCTCTCATGCAGCATGATGGATGGAGGGCAGCAGCTACAGCTAGCAGCTCACCCTTTGGATGCTCAGTATCACTATAGTATTTCTGGAATTTCAAGTTGGCAGCTTTAATAGCTTCTTGAATGTTCTCTCTTGTTGTTAACTGTTGGGCCTTGTCCTTCTCTCTTTCTAAATGCTGGAAAAGATGATTGTATGTTGCTCATACCAGATGAATTGTTGGGCCTGTTGTTTTGAACAGTATCTTGGTAAATTAACTGAATGGCTGCAACAGTCCAATCATATACTCTAGCTGCTTCCAGTCATGGTCCAATAAGTGAAGTCTTTGGTATTTTGGTGATGAGTTCTGGATTCATGAGTTCACAGCTTGTTGAAGCAACAAGGCATAAACATACATCTTATAGGTGGAATTCCATCTTGTGCAAACATCTTGGATCATCTTGTGCTGGTTCTCTTGTTGATATTCTTGGAAATGTGCAGCAAGTTGGGAGGAGGCATTGGTTGCATTGGCAACAAGACAAATTTATTGTCAAGCAAAGATTAGTAAATCAACTCAAGTATATCAAGACTATTACCAAATTTTGTTACCTTTCTAAGAGTATTTGCAAATGTGTCTGTTGATGCTAGGTCATCAGTAATTGAGCTCTCATCAAAGGTAGTGGGTAGAGTATTATTGTCTGGCTGAATCTTGAGATTGCAAACCAGCTCTTGAACCACAAGTTGAATTACATGAGCAAGACAGAGTATTGTTCCACTCTCTGCATCCCAATCAGTTGTCTTGTTCAACTGCTGCAATGCTGGCCTCAACTGATGTGTAAGATGTGCTTGCATGATACTATTGTTTGACACATTATCACTTGTAATTGCAAGAAGATTGCTCTCAAGCCTCTATACTGCTAGTGATTGTTGGAGAATCTCTGCCATATTCTTGCCAGTATAAGCACCCTCTAAACTTTCAAAATTCAGTAAATGCTCATGGTACTCCCAATCCTTTGTAATGTAATAATCATTAATTGTCATAAAGACAAGATTATTGGGACTTGTCCAATTATCTACTGCCAGAGATATCTTGGTTGTTGGGTCATGATTAAAGAGAAGATTTCAGAATAGCTGATTGTACATATTATTCATGATCTGATATAATGTTTCTTGTGTGGGTATCTGTAAAGCCATTGCAGGGTTGAGCATGGTTATTAATGTGTGGAATGCTGGATTCTCAATAGCATGAAATGAGAGATTCAAGAATATTAATGTTTGCACAAGCTGCTGGAGGAAATTGTCTCAATTGCATTCAGGAACAGGCAGATCTGAATCTGTTTGAGGATGCTTCAGAAACTGTTGCTAAGACACCAGAACTGTTACTAAAATTTGTTACATTTGGGAAATTAGAATCCATGACCTACCATCATGTTAATCAGAGTGTTATCTTGTCTGTCACCAGTTTTTGTACAATCTTTGCTTGTTAAATGCTTCTTCAGACCACTTGTACTGTTTCAAGAAAAGCTTGGATGACTGAGAAAGGTTTGGCAATGCTTGCAAATTATCTCTGGAGTGCTCTTAGAATGCTCTGCCACCTGATCAAATTTTGACCAAAAATCAGAATGGTGTTGCTTTGCCTTCCAGTTGGGGTCACCATGCTTCTTATCATTAATCAACTGAGCAGCTTCAGTAGTCAACCACCAAGTAACAAACAACTTATGATGCAGCTCCTTCCACAATACAAATTGTTTTTTTCCATGTTGAACTATGGTTAATTCTGAAGAAACCTCTGTAGATTTTGCTTGTTTGCTGGCTTCAGCCATTAGATTTTTCTTTTTTTTTTTTTTTTTTTCACAATCAAATTGATTTTTCTCTAAGTTCTGCCTTAGTCAAAAAAGTAACAAAATGTGGTCAGAGCCCACACAAAATTTGATAATCTCTAGATAGTTAGCCTTATTTTACTCTGTAAGTACAGTAATCAACTACAAAATCTTCTTCTTCTACAAAATGGAACATTCTTCTTCAGGAAAATAAAACATTTTGTCAATTTAATGGCACCCCATTCTCAAATTAATATGAAAAAAAGAACTAAAAACCTAACTTTCTCCCCTAGATATTAATAATCCAATCATCCTCTGCCTCATTGTCCTCCTCATCATCCTCATCAGAGGACACCACAATCTCAAAATCATCTTTCTCCACCTCCTCTGGGGCAGGTGGCCTGTTGTTATCTTCACTCAGACCCTGTAATTGGCCCAGGAATCTCCTCATCTTCTTCTTAATCCCCTCTCTCAACACACCAATCACAGTAAGATAATCATGACCATGGGCCATGATCTTGGCCTCAAGTCTGGCTATCATTTGGCAGAATTGGGCCTCCCTACATGCAGTAATAGGATGCTGTGCCTGGCTTGTTTTGATCTAAATATGTCAGAACTGTTACCAAATTTCATTACTTTTGGATTCTACCTTCTTTTTCTGCTGAGCTTCATTCTCAGCCTCTGTAGCCTCTTCTTGGCAATGCTTCTTCTCTTCCTCCCTCTTCTTTTGCTGAGAGATCATGAGCTGGTGCTCATGGTACTTCTTTAACTTGCCCTTGGCAAATCACTTGGCCATCAACTCTTCAATAGCTTTATCTTCAATCATCTTGCAATCCTTCTTGCTGCTATTCTGCCTGTAATGAATGTCAATATGATTTAACACAAACCACTGAGGGTGCATACCACTCATGTTTTGCTCAGATCCTCTTCAGCACATCATGGTGTGTCTTGTGATCCATCTCTTCTGCCTTGAATATGTCTTTTTGATGGCCTTCCAAGACCTGGCAGTACTCCCATGCTGCACAGGTCTTCTCTCTCATTGAATATTGTTTTGGCCCCATCTTCACAATTGTATGCAATGAGTTGAATTGCTGGCTACAGAATAATAAGATTATAGAGTATATTGACCAAGTACTTGCATAGAATGGTTACTATACACATTGTTTACATTCTACAGGCACATTGCTATGGGCAAGCTCAACACATTGTTGCTATGCTGGCTACAGGATAATGGAATTATAGAGTGTATTGACCAAGTACTGTAGGATGATTACTATACACATTGTTTACATTCTACAGGCATGTTGCTATAGGCAAGATCAACATGTTGTTGCTATGCTGGCTACAGGATAATAACATCAGGTCAGTCTCTCTTCTCTTCTCTTTCTCTTTCTCTTCTTCTTCTTTCTCTTCAGAGCTAACATTGACAATTTCCTTCCCTCTTCCCTCTTCCCCCCCACCACCTTTTTATTTACTGCACTTCAACATCCACACATACAACAAACATATACTGTGACAAAATGGGTTGTGTTAAGAGGTGAGTGCTTGCAGAATACTGCTCTGGCGCACATTATTTACTGACAAGATGTTAGTTTTCCCCATGCATGTCCATTTTGCACAGCTGGAGAGGAGCAGCACAAGGCTGCATTGAAAGAATGGGCCCTGAAGAAGGGCAATTGGCATAAAGCCAATAAAGATGTTGACCTGGCCAACTTTGACCAGGAGAATCTCCACTCCTGCCCCCCCATTCAAAATTAGAAGGCTGGCACTTGTATGTCAAAAAGTAATGATTTTTAGTAATGGTCTTGATGCTAATTGGTGAAAATAGATGCCATTAAGGAAATCCACCACTTTCAGAGCTCTACTGAGCTAATCTTGCCAGTAGCCCCATTCCAGTGATTGATTCAGGAAATTACTTTGTCCTGTCACCAAGAACATGAATATTGCTGGCAATGTACTGCCATTGAGTCACTTCAGAAGGTGGCTGAAGCAATCTTGTACACTCTGTTTGAGTGTAAGTCACTCTTAGCAATGGCACCAACAATTATACTGAGTAATATAGGCTCTGTTATGGCAATGTTGCACTGTAAGCACATTATGGTCAACACCAATAATATGAAGCTCATTCTTGGCATTGGTGCCAAAATCAGGTTGAACTATTTCAGTCTGATTGATGCACCTGATCACCCCACCCCTGCTACCACCACTCACCACCTGTGTGCTGCCCCCACCCCACTAACTACCACTGCTGCCACTCCACCACCACCACCACTGCCCACCACTGCCTTCCTGCCTCCCTCCAGCACCATCAGGGTCTCTGCCTGTCAAATGGCAGGTATTAGAGCCCCTGTCCAGTTCACAAAGCCAGTTCTGGAGGAGCAGGAGGAGAAAGAGGAGAAGAAGAAGAAGAAGAGGGAGGAGAAGAACAATGATAATGATGAAGATGATGATGATGATGATTAACTTGCCATTTAGGCAGTTCCTGTTTGTTTGCTGGCTTTGGCCATTAGTTAGTTTTAATACTTTGTTTCTTTTGACAATCAAATTGATTTTTCTATGGGTTCCGCCTTCATCAAAAAAGTAACAAAATTTGGTAACAGTCCACACAAAATTTGATCAGTTTGACTCTTCCCTATGAATTTGACACAATGGGACTGGAAATCCTGGTCCCATTCCAGTCCCACTATGGACCCGGCTGGGATGGGAAATGGGAGTCTACCATCTCTGCTGGGATGGGATGTGGGACATAATTTTCTATTTGAGGATGGGACCGGGAAATACTTTCTGGAATAGAAATGGGAACAGGACCTCAAGCTCTTGAGTGGGATGGGACATGGGACTGAGATTTCATATTTGGGATTCCAGCTGTTTCTAAATTCAGGACAGGGACCAGGTTCAATGGGAAATGGGATCCCGTCCCGGTCCTGAATACCAGCCTAGTTGTTGTTTCTTCTATGCTACTCTTTATTATCATGTCTTCTTCAAAGAATCCTGTCCCCAATATCAAAGAGAAGATGTTTTCTTGCTCAGTATATGTATATTTAATGTTCACTAATTGTTTGGATGAAGTGGAGCCCTGTATATAGAACTCTGAAAAAGAATCTTGTGCTTATTATTTAAAGTACCAAATCTATACTTGTTGTGATGTAAGTGTGTCTTCATCTGTTCTTTCTTGTTGGTCTGATATAGTTATAGATATCTGAATCTGCTTTTAATGTTGTACATCAGCTCTTACATTTTCAAGAGAAGTATTATTTTTTCAATGCTGCAGACTCTTGCTGTTTATACAACATGAAGTATATGAGTGTACTTGTATGAGAATTTTATGGGCTTGACTTCAGGGCTGCCAAATATTATCATTACCAGATTACTTCTGTTCTTGAAGAATCTTCTATAAAATATCATCATCCTGCATCACATTAATAAACTAAAACCATGGATCTTGTGTTGAAAGTCAGGTCTGTTAAGAATAATTCATCTGAACTTCTTTATTTATTAAGTTCACTTCATGCCATCTTGTCTCAGGTTGAGAATGAGATTGGAAACATTCATGTCTTGCTTGACTATCTTATCACTCATTTAACAAGTAAGATCAAGACTCTTCAAGACAGTATAGAAGTCAGTTTTGTAGATCTTCTTTACTGTCTTTACTCATTCTCAGACTAACTTCTGCTTAGACCAATCTCACATCTTCTATTGACTATCTAACTAATACTGTTTCTTCTGGTTTTTATAGTGTTGTGAAAGCACTTTGTTCTTGTTATAGTTTTTTATCTGTTATGTCTTCTTCTGTGACTGTACTGTCTGTTGTGGCTCCATCTATTATTATATTAAATATATCTGTGACTTCTGAGTCTTGCTTGTCTATGGCTAGTTTGCTACTGTTGTGGCTGTGTCTCAGACACTTTCATAGTATGTCTTCTTGCTGTTAACTTCTTGATTTTGTAGATGTTGTGATCTTTATATTTGTTTTGTGTTATACTTATCTTTCTTTCTCTATATAGGTTCATTTATCTTCTTGTAATTATATCTTTTTCTTAGATAATTCTTAAGAGTCTCTTGTGCATTTTCAAGATTTTTCTCAGATTCCCATATCAATTTCTTAATAGGGAATCCCTTTCACTTCACTAGATAATGTCTCTTGCAGTAGTGTGTTTTGTTGTCCAAGATCTTGTCTACTTCTCACTTATGATGATCATCTACTAGTACTGTAGAAGAATGTGTTGGTGCCTCACCCTTTCTTGTGTAATATGGTTCCAATAATGAGACATGGAAAACATTGTGGATCTGATAGCTTGAGGAGAGCTTCAGTCAATATGTGTTATTTTCTATAATCTCTATTACTGAAAAAGATCTATAGTACTTGTTGTCTAACTTCTTGCAAGAACATATTGTTCATAGGTTTCTTGATGACAACATTATCACCAGGTGCATACAGTTTATCTTGATATCTTTGATTATAAAATCATACTTGGTTCTCTTTTGCTTTCATCAAATGTTCTACCAGACTATTTCTTAATACAGAGATTATTCTCAGTCTCTCATCAGATGTTATCTGTGTGTTATCATTGTTGTTAATCAACTTCTGGATCTTGTCTGATCTTTTAGATTTGAAGCTCTATATTGCTTTAAATAAGAACATGTACATTACAGAGTGTTCTGATCTGTTGTATGCAAATTCTGCATACACAAGCCACTTCTCCCAATCATCTTGCCTATAACTACAATAGATGTGGAGGTATCTCTTCAAGATCTTGTTCAGTACCTCTGTTTGGCTGTCTGTTTGTGAATGGAATACTGTGCTAAGTTTTTATATAACTTTCATGTGAAAATATAGCTCTGACCAGTATTTACTTGTGAAAACAGATCTCTGGTCCAAAACAATATTATTTGAAAATTCAAAGTCTTTAAATATTCTTCTGAACAGAAGATTTGCCATCTCTGGTGTGTTAATCTTCTTTCTACATGCAAGAAAACATGTGAGCTTTGTAAATTAATCTACAACAACCAGAACTGTGTTGTATAGATTTCTCTTCTCTTCACTCAGAGAGAGATCTGTTATAAAGTCCATGGATATTAAACACCAGAGACTACTAGATGTTGACAATAATGTGAGCAATCTATATAGTTTGTGTGTTGAAGTCTTCTCTTGTTAACAGATTTGGCATTTGTGTATGTATGTCTGGATATCTTGTCTTATTAATTATTAATTGTATTTTTACTGGAGCAAGATAAACATCTTCACTATGTCAAAGTGACCTGCAAATGAGTCATTGTGGTGGACTTATAGTAGTTCCTGTCTTAGAGCTAGATTATTAGGAATGTAGATTCTGCTGCTCTTTATCAAAAGATCTTATTTATTTATTTTTCACTCTGACTGCTGAGATCCTGCCTTAGTGAATCTTGCTTGTACATAGAGATTATCTCTCTGTGCTTCTAGCAGCAGGTCCAACATGCTTACAGTTAATTTGTTATAGATCTTTTTGTTTTTTGTTACTGTGTTCATATGCATATGGGGAATTCAGGATCTTCTGTAATTTCTTTGTTGAGCCTTCCCAGCATCTTTGGCTGGTGCTCTCTGAACTGACTCAACCATCTTGATGCCACCAGGTCTCCCCTGCACCACCTCTACCCCACTGCTTTGGACAGTACAAGCAGCACATACTTGAATATCTTCTTCATTAAAGAAAGTTCCTTCAAATGGGTCCCACTCTGAAACACCATCTGTGTAATGTTGTTTGAGCATATATATTGGCAGACCAATGTCTTCTTCTAGTTTGATATAATCTGGTCTTTATGATAATGTGTTGGCTGGGTTATGCTTCCCAGGGCAGTAGAGAATCTCAAAGTCATACACTCTGAGAACCTCTATCCATCTTATATGTTGTCATTGTGCCACCTTGTTTGTGGAATTCATAAATGAATGAAGATTTGCATGATCTGTAATAACCTCTACAGAGTACTTTATTTCTTCTAAGTACTGCTGCCAATGAACAAACACTTAGATAATGGCTAACATCTTCTTATCTGGTGTACCATAGACTTGTTGGGTCTGGTCAAACTTGAATGACCAGTAGACAACTGGATGCCACCCATCTTTAAACAGCTGTAGTAATATTGTATCTGCAGCATGTTCTGAAGCATCTGTATCCAGATGTATTCTACATTCTGAATTATAGTGCTGGATGACAGACTTTCTGAAGAAGACTGCCTGCAACTCACAAAACACTTTCCTGGCAGCAGATATCAGAAGAAAACATTTTTTCTTTCTTTTCTTTTCACTGCTCTTCAAGAGATCTGTCAACAGCACCATGATAATCAAGTACTTTTGTATGAACCTCTAATAGAAGTTCACAAAACCCAGAAATACCTGAATATTATGGAAACTTCATGGCAAGAGTCACTCTGTAATTATCTGTACCTGCTTTGGGTCCATCTTAATATCTTTGTTATTAATGATATATCTGAGGTATGAGATCATTTGTCTTTTGAAAGTGCACTTAGCAAGCTTTGCAAACAACTGGTATTCCCTTAGATGCTCCATAACTAGTCTAACATGTTTCTCATGCTCTCTCTCTGAGACTGAGAAAATAAGAATATTATCTAGGTAAACTACACAGCATATGTCAACCAGGCCTGCCAGTGCCCTATTGATATAGAACTGGAAGGTTGCTGGTGTGTTTGACAACCTGAAAGGCATGACAAGATACTCAAAACTCTCAAACTTTGTACAAAACATGGTCTTCCATTCATCTCCTTCTTTGATTCTAATCCAGTGGTAGACATCACATAGATCTATCTTGAAAAAGTAGCATGCTTCTGCCAACCAGCTTAACATCTCATCTATCAACAGCAAGAGGTAATGGTTCTTCACTGTAATTATGTTAAGACCACAATAATTAACACAGAGTCTGAGTTCTCCATTAGCTTTAGGTGCAAACAACACTGGAGCCCCTGCTGAACTTTATGATGAACATATCCAACTCTTGCATAACTTGTCCTTGATGTACTCTTATAGAACCTCTGTCTGCTTGGGTGATAGTCCATAGATTGGCATGTACAGGGGCTGACAGCTGTTTTTAAAGATAATCAGGTGACTGACCTTTGTCAATTCTGGCAACTCTGCTGCTTTTTCTTCTGAGAAAACATCTTTATAGTCCCTCAACCACTCAGGTACTTCTGTCAGGACTTGGTTATCATCTGACACAAAAATGACATAAGAGGGTTCATTCTTGATGCACACTACTCAGAGAAATCTACCTGCATTCAGAAGTTCCACTGTCTTCTCTGAGAATCAGTAACATCACATCTTGTTCTTCCAGTCTATATCTGGGTTGAAATCTTCTAACCATAGCATGCCTAGAACTATGTTCATGTTGACCATGTCAATCACCATGAATGTATGTTTTACCACCTTTGTGGTCCTCATGGAGTCTATTATAGTGAGTTGGGCCTTGTAGGTGCTGTACTAATCAGCCTCAGCTCCATTTAACATCTCAATAACTCCCATGGGTGTCTCTGGTTGATCCCAGTCCAATTGAAATGCCAGTTTGTAGGAGATACTGTCCACTGTGGTACCTGAGTCCAACAGTGCAGCTTGCTCCATAAGACCACCTGATGGTGTAGTCAGTGTGGCTGACAGGCACATACTGTGCCTGCTTGCATTCTCTATTAAGTTAACACCCCATCTTTCTAATGTTTGACCTGGGTCTTGCATGGGCTTTGTGGTTCTAGCCTTCATCTGATCCTCATCCTTTTTGTCTGTCCACTGGGACTTGTTGGAGCTGTTTGTACAGAACTTTGCTCTATGGCCTGATTGGCCACATTTTAGACAGAGCCCTTCATCCATTTATTATTTGTGTTCCTCTTCCAACATTTTTGGAAGTGGTTTCACTGGTGTCTTCTTTATTCATGGATAACCTTCTTCATTATCTTGTTGGGATGCATCTTTCTCTTGAGAGGTTGAGATTTTCTGTTTCTTCTCATTTTGATTCTTGTCCCACTGACTTTGCTTCTTCTTTTCTAGAATGGACTCAATAAGCATCATTTGTTCTCATAATTCTGCAATCATTTTTGGTTGGTGTTGCAGTTTATCTAGTTCAGCCCAGATGATTGATCTGAGTTTTGTCTGTAGAAAGAGTACATGAAAGAATTCATCTGGTAAACTGTTCAGGTTCTGTTTGAGTTCAGCAATGTACATGAAAAACAAGAGTATGAATTAGTTCTCTTGTTGGATGGTGTCATGATAATGCTGCATCATGCCTCAACTACAAGTTATCTTGGGTTCAATGTCATTCTTACACCACATCTTGAATTTGTTCCATGACATGGGTAGTTGTTCTCTCTCTATTCCCAACATCTGCCAATGCATCTGGGGTTTGTTATAAAAATGGCTGGACACCCAATCAATTCTGACTACATCTAATGCCTTTTGTAATGATTTCCTCAGATGAAACTGCTGTCTTATTAAAGCTAACCACAATTTACACTCATTAAGTGATTTGCCATAGTAGTAAGGTGCTTTTGATGGCTTCACATCATCAAAATCATCTGACTCCTCTATTGGTCTTGTGTGTAAGAGAAACTCTAAAGAAAAATTATCATTCACTATTCTCTGTTTGTATTCTATCTGCTTCTGCAGCCTGCATATCTTATTTTGTTCATGTATGTCTGCTAGATTCTTTTGCAGACATGTCTTCTTTTCTTCAAAGGTCTTCTCCCTTCAGGTTTTGTCTAATATATTAAGGGGTGTACCTCTGTTGCCTGTATTATCTGCTGGTGTCTCACTGGTGATGGCTTCACTACTACCAGCACCTTCATCAATATTCATCTCCTCTATATTGGTGTCTACCTCTGTCAGATCCACAACATAGGATGTTGTTGTGATTCATCTTGTGAGTCTTGGTGGCATCATATCAACTTAGGCAATCATATGTCAGAGTGTTCAGAATGTTAGGTGAACCAGTCATAGATCATGTAGGTTTTCCCAGGATTAGGGATACAAAAGAGCTAAGTAGGTACAATGCCTGCAACTGATGAGAGAGAGTCATGCATAAAATGTAGGGGTTCTCTCACTCAGAGACTGAATGCTGGGGTTCCCACAATCCATGCAAATTGTGTGATCCTTATACATTCAGCATTGGGGTCACATGAATACCCCTGAACATCCAACATCATCCAATGCTTGGTTGGTCTAGGTCTACATTCATAACATCTTGTGTATTTTCCACATGTACTTGTTGTCTTTGCATTCTGTGCAGTTTTCATATTCTTTTAAACCATGCAGAAATCTTATCATTTTTCAAAATCTTTTATCTTTATGAAATTCACATTGGTATTTGTACTTAAATTTGTTGTAGCATGAATGATTTAGTTTTTCTATCTCTTTCTGTTTTTTATTTCAGTGCTGTCTATATATTATTATTACTAGTAATCTGTTTTCTTCTTCACATGTGGTCCAGTGCAACTGGTTGTCTTGGATTTATAATATTCTTACTATTGAACATTTTGTCTCTTCAGATATCATGCTTTCTATAAGACTGAGTTTCTTCAAGACATCTTCTTCATATTTCTTAAATTCTAGTATCTTCCAACTTGGTTCTTTCTTCAGCTTTGGTGTAGTGGTCTGTTCTTTACTTGATCAATATTTCTTATTATTACTGTAATCTTGTTTCTGAGTTGCTCACAACTTCTTCAGTAGTTATGAGCAATATCTACTGTTCTTTCCATCTCTATAGATAGAGCAATTGTTGTTATAGCAAAAGCTTTAATAAATTCTGGTATGACCTGAGTGTCCTATAGATGAGATATTCTGTAGGTCTAGCATTTCCCATTCTTCTTTCTTAGTGTTGTGTTTGCAATACTAATAATTCTTGATATCACAATTATAATCTCTGTAATACATGAAATCTTCTGTAACTTATGTTTATCATTCAAACTCTTCTTGTTGTTTCTGGTGAAGCTTGTATGAATATTTATAGATCAGATACTGAGCATATTTCTTGTGTTTTAGGTTCTGAATTTCATCTATTTTCTTTTTGTAGTGATATTTGCAGTCAAGTGGTTGAATTCCCCAATTATCACTTGATTTGCTTCTTGTTGTTACACATAATTCTTCACATAACTCTTATTTTTTATCATCCAGCTGGTTTCAGCATCTCAGTTTATCTTTTAGCTGCTGGGGTAGCTTTAGATAAGCTCTTATAACTTGTTCTTTAAATATCTTTCTGAACTGTTGTTGGAGTTCTTCTTCAGTTTGCTCTTTCTAAGTTGTTACTTAAAGATATTGTTTGACTTCAGAGTCTTCTCTATTTTCTTTTAAGATTGCTCTGAGTTTCTTATCTCTTTGATCTGCTTTTCTTGCTCTGCACTGCCTTGCTTGATATCTGAGCTTGATATAATAAAAGTATAGTTTCTCTTTCTTCCTCCACTCTTTTTCTTTCTTATCAAGTATGTCAACTTTCATTGTGTCCAGCTTTATAGATGTATATCTATAAGAGTCCAGTTGTACATATTTGCTTCAGTCTCAACTTTCAGTGTAGTTTAATAAACTGGGCTATCTTTATGGCACTTTTTCTTGCTTTTCCATGTTTCATTTATAAAGTCAGTTCTCAATCCTGACTGCTACTTCAATCATCTTAATCAGAGTGTGTGGTTGTTTTTCCAATTACATTATTTCATTTTTGATTTCATCAAATAGTTCTTGGTAGTAGATGTTAGCTAAGGCTTCATCATCTCAATCAGTATTGACACAGATCTGCTGAAATCTTATAGCATATTCTTATAGTGATATCTTTTATCATATGTGATGTAACTGCTGGACTGCCATATTTTGTTTCTTGACTTCTCTAAAAGCGATTTTCAATGTTCAAATAAAGATGTTATAACTGTTAATGATCTTGAGCATGTTGTTGTCCTAATTGGCTTCATCTTTTTTGTAATAATTTTACAGATAGATGTTGAACTAATTAAATACTGCTCTGTAAAGATATAATACTATCATCATTATCTTGTTCTTATTATTGCTAAGTTCTTTGTCTTTCATATTTATGTAGATATGCAGTTGTTCCAAGAAAGCTTATAATTTTTCTTGTTCACTCTTGAAGAGTTCTGATGAGTTGACTTTAGCTTTATCTTTCTTTTTCTCTTGTCTGGTGAATGAAATGGCCATGATCTGGGTCTCAAGCTGCTTGTTATAGTCTTTTAATTTGTGATTCTGCTCTTCAAGTCTCTCAGTAATCTGTTCAAGCTGCAAGATTCTATTTATAAGATCTTAAGTATTGATAACTGGTGCTTTGAATGCAGACATAGTTTCTATACTTTATTAGATCTTGATGTAGAATAGAGGTTGTATCTTTATACTTGATGTGATGCAGAAAGTTCTTTCTTTGTATATAATCTCTGGGGTCTCAGGTGTATTCTCTTCTGAGTCAGAGGTGATTAATATATTGTGTATGATTTTTATAACTGGAAATCTCTCTGAATTCTTTAGAATCTTGAGAGTATCAAAGAGCTTAAAGAGAGTACAACAGATTGAAGATAGTGATTAATAATTTAATAATACTCTAGTTGAGTGAGTAGTCTTGCTCTGATGACAAAGAGTTTCTGTACAGATATATCAGAGTCAACATCTTTAAGTAAGAACTTAGAAAGAGCAAATGAAAGAAGAACTCCAACAATAGTTCAGAGAGATATTCAAAGAACAAGTTATAAAAGCTTATCTGAAGCTACCCCAGTAGCTGAAAGATGAACTGAAATGCTGAAAACAGCTGAACAATGAAAAATAAGAGTTATGCAAAGAATTATGTGTGAGAATGAAAAGTGAACCAAGTGATGATTGGGGAATTTGACCACTTGACTGTGAATATCACTACAAAAAGAAAATGAATGAAATTCAGAACCCAAAGCACAAGAAACATGCTCAGTACCCAATCTACAGATGTTTATGCAAGCTTCACCAGAAACAACAAGAAGAGTTTAAATAATGAACACAGATTACAGAAGACTTTATATATCATAAAGACTATAGTTATGACATCAAGAATTGCCAGTGTTGCAAATGTGACACTGAGAAAGAAGAATAGAAAATGCCAGACCCACAGAATATCTCATTCATAAAACACCCAAATTACACCAGAATTCATTAGAGCTTTTGCTATGACAATAATTGTTCTATTCACAGAGACAGAAAGAATAGTAGATACTACTTATAATCACTGAAGAAGTTGTAAGCAACCCAGAAACAAGACCATAGTAATAATGAAGAATATTGGTCAAGTGAAGAACAGCCAACCACACTAAAGCTAAAGAAAGAACTAAGTTGAGAGATACTAAAATTTAAGAAACATGAAGGAGATATCTTGAAGAAACTCAGTCTTATAAAAAGTGTAACATCTGAAGAGGCAAGATGCCTAATGGCAAGAACATTACAGATTCAAGACAACTAATTGCACTGGACCACATGTGAAGAAGAAAACAGATTACTAGTGATAATGATGTGTGGACAGCACTGGAACAAAAAACAGAAAGAGATGAAAGAACTAAGTTGAGAGATACTAAAATTTAAGAAACATGAAGGAGATATCTTGAAGAAACTCAGTCTTATAAAAAGTGTAACATCTGAAGAGGCAAGATGCCTAATGGCAAGAACATTACAGATTCAAGACAACTAATTGCACTGGACCACATGTGAAGAAGAAAACAGATTACTAGTGATAATGATGTGTGGACAGCACTGGAACAAAAAACAGAAAGAGATGAAAGAACTAAGTTGAGAGATACTAAAATTTAAGAAACATGAAGGAGATATCTTGAAGAAACTCAGTCTTATAAAAAGTGTAACATCTGAAGAGGCAAGATGCCTAATGGCAAGAACATTACAGATTCAAGACAACTAATTGCACTGGACCACATGTGAAGAAGAAAACAGATTACTAGTGATAATGATATGTGGACAGCACTGGAACAAAAAACAGAAAGAGATGAAAGAACTAAATCACCCATGCCATGATAAATTTGAGTATGAATGTCAATACAAATTTCATAAAGACAAAAGATTTTGAAAAATAATGAGATTCCTGCATGGTTTGAAAGAATGTGAAAACTGCACAGAATGTAAAGACAACAAGTATGTGTGGAAAATACATAAGAAATAATATACCAACAGAAATAATTGCAAAATACATGAACAAGCACTTAAGATGACTCTTATTGATTTGGGAAACAAGAGAGCTGCCACAAACAAGAGCCTGTGAGCAGCATGAATAGGCAAGCAAAACTGTTACTCATCAATAAATAAATCTGTTACCTCAGAGTTACAGCAATCTTACTTGAATCAAAGCACACAACAGTCCTAGTAAACTCAAAAGTGACTGAACTATTTATTGACAGAAGATTCACCAAACAAGCTGACATCATGAAATGAATAAAGAAATATCCCTACCAGTTATCAGAACTGGGAGAAGGAACTCTTGATAGAGTTAAAGAAGAGACATACTCTATTGAAATAAGAATAGAACAGCACCACAAGAAAGTGTGTTTTGAAGTGATAAATCTAGAGAACTATAATATAGTCTTAGGATACTTTTGGTTAAAACAGCACAATCCAGAAATTAACTGATGAAAAGAGAAGATTAAACTGACAAACTGTAAATGCTCTCTTAAACCAGCACACCATGATTGAAGACCCACACTCAGAAACAACTTAGACAAGACACTAGCTGTAATAAGTTGAATCAACAGAAAGATACTGCATAAAGAATAATTAATTAACACTAAAGAAATTCATAAAAATCTGACCCATGATAACAAAGCAGATCAAGCTACAGAGAACTCCAATAACTTGAAGCATCTGCAAGTATGAAAGAATAATCAGAATGAAAAGATCAAGAAAATCCTACCAGAAGAATTCTGAGAATACATCAATATATTCAGAAAAAGAGATTAAAGCAACAGTCTACTGAAACATGAACTCTGAGACCACAAGATAAAACTACAAGAAGAAAAACAATCAGCAAAATTGTCAATATACAGATTGAATAAAAAAGAATCAGCTGAAGTAAAGAAATACATCAAGAATAATCTCAAGAAATATTACATTAGAGAGTTGAT